TAGGGTTTGAAAGTTTTGAAAGAAAGAAGGGATATTTAAATGGATTGAAAATTGATAAGATGAATTTCACATCATGGAAGGAGGTCTTCTTGGACGTCATGTCATGTGGTCTCGAAATTTTGAGTCTAATTTTACGTAAATATTTGTCCCGCTCGACTTATTAACAAATCAAACAATTGTAATTTTAAAGTAAAGTATTATCTAAGCATGATTAAGTAATAAATAAGTATATAAAAATAACATTTATCTTGTATTTAGTAGTTTAATATAAATACTCAATATTTTACCCTCATGGTCTCATTGTATGTAGGAAAACCAAAGATTGAAAAAAATTGGGATAGGAAGGAGACCCATAGAAACAGAGGGAATGACGACCTTAACTGATTGATGAGACTAAGGAAGGCCAAAAAGAATCGTCCTCTATCGATTATATTCAATGAATCTGTCATTTTATTAGTTGTCAATTGTCACCTCTATTCTATGTAAACAGACAAACTAGAGAATTTTGGAGTACCATTTTTAGGCCAAAAACAGATGTCCTTCAGCCTTCTTATTCTCTTATCGACACCCTTTTTTAATTATTATTTATGTAATGCCTTCAACCTTTTCTTGAATTATTATCAGATCTAATTGTGATAAGTTATTGCATAGTGCAGATTTATAAGATGGTGCAAAATATATATTTTACTTTGTTTGCTTTATTTTTCAACAGACACTCTTATGTTACCTGCAAGTATTTGATTATATTGGGAGTGACGACATTTGATACTTTTTTTCGACTGACAGTTGCATGAAAAATATCATTTAGTTTTCCTTTCAATTAATTAGGATGTAATAAAGAAAACCTAACTGAGCAGTTATCTTCTAATTTTATAATAGAAATCCTCCATTTTGCAAAAATTCTGTTGCTGATACAGTAGGTCAGTAGCGTTTGCTGTACCTCTTGGGACAAAAATCAAATGAACTTATCCACTACAAAATTGGAATTTGACTGGACTTAACATTTGTGAATCGCTTCCATATTTCTTTTCAAAATGTAGCATAATAAATAGACTATATCAATGCCAATGTTTTTTTTTTTTTAAATTTCATAAGAGAAACGAACAAAATGATTTGACAGCCTTTACCTTTAGTAAACCAGGTATTTTAACTATTAGGAATATCGAGCATAAATTGTATTTGATTTTTAAGTTTACAAATATATGCCACCCCTATATCGTTTTGCTCCCTTTTAAAACAAGAGTCTAAAAGAAAAAAAGAATATAGGGGTGACATATATTTGTGTAAATATAGGGTGATTGGTAGGAATAGCCTCGTAATGGGCTGATCTTAGCCGAATGTCCACCAAATCGGCAGTATTTAGAAAATAGCCCCCAACTCGCACACAGTTATTGCTCTTTAGTAACAGGTTGGTAGAGTTTACACTATATTTACTCTAACTATCTGTTAAATTATTCATCAAAGTCTACCATATTGGTATGACTTTGCTCTTCGGGCATTTTGTTACCGAATTGGAAGAGTTTATTCAATATTAACTGCCTATATGTTAAGTATTCATCAAAGTCTACCCCCGATTGACATGATTTTTTTGTATCTTTTTAATAAAGTGTTCTTCGAATTTACAATTTCAATTGCAATCAGACCATCCCAAATCTGCTCCAAATGATCTTAATTTGAAACAAAGTTTTTAAATATAGCAGCACAAATAATCCCAAGTTACTAATTTAGTCAAATAATATTGAATTAAAAAGACTCACATTGTCTTTTTCATCACTTTCTAAGGTCCAACAATAATTTTTTTTTTTTAGCTTTTAACGTAAATTACAAATCAATGTTTGAATTAAAAAAATTAAGCATAAATTATCAATATTTAAACGATTTTAACAATAATTGATCGTTAGCCTTATATTTTTCACCAACAAACAAAAATTTCTGGTTTTAATATTGAAAAACTATGGTGCTCAAGTAAAAAAAACGGGAACATTTTGCTAAGAAGTAAAAACCAGGGACATTCCGCCCCGTAGGCTGACATATTGTCCTGCAATTTTATGGTAAAGTAAGAATCCGAAGCCAACTCATCAGCTCTTTTCGGAAGTTGACTCCAAGGCCCAAGGTAAAACGACCCAACTTTCAAACTTGTATTTGAGCCCAATATGCAATAAGGCTTAAGCCCATTTCACCGATCCATCTTTTAAGAATAGGAATTTTTACATTCCTATGCCATATAGGAAATTATATTACCCTGAATGATTAAGGTTTGATATAATTATATTTAGTATATCTAATTACCAATTATATACTATCAGTGATTTTTAAGGGTATTAATTACACTCCTAATTTAATGGTACCGTATATTCCTTCTAATACCACTCCCTCCATGTTTCTCTTTCCAATTCCACACCTTCACCCACGTTTCCCTCCCCCACACATGATTTATGTATCAAATCCCATTATTTCTTCTATAGCCAAGGCATTGTCGGCACCTCTGCAATCTTGTCCCAATGTTTTTGTGCCCGGGGAAGATGAGCACAAGCCTGGTCGATTTGATGGTTATGATTTTGGGTTCCTTCAGTAATATAAGAGGAAAGGAAAAGAGAGCAGCAATTCCACCATTGACAGCCATTAAAAAGCTTTGAATTCAAATTTGGGTTTTCAAAAATCATTATTTGTTTGGATTGGGGGTTGTTGTAAATAATTAGGAATATGGTTTGGAGTTTATATCTCAATTTTGAGGGGTTTTGTTGAAGATTATACTTGGTTTTGGCTGAATTTCAGATTGAAACTCGAAGAAGAAGAAGAAGAAGAAGAAGAAGAAGAAGAAGAAGACATGACATACATTATATTGCAGCAACTCATCAGCAATTGAAGAAGAGGCGTGAATTTGTATAATAGGTTGAATGTGAGAAATGAATCAAATAAGACTCACAATGGTTTGTTTTCTACATTTAATCTACAACAAAACTACATATCATTTGAAAAATTAATATGAAAATACAGAATTTCAATGTTTCTACAAATTATCTAAAAAAAATTCTACAAACTGTTCATAATAGAATTTATCTTTATTTTCATGCATGTTCGTCTGGAACACTAAAGTTACTTGATATGCCAACATCTCCCGTTATAGAGGAATACAACTTATCTACAATTTTCTACAATTTTCACACATTATTTCCACCTAGTTAAATATAACTACAATAACATAAAATTTGAGCTTTGTGTTTTTGTGTTAAAAGTTTTGATGGGAGCTTGTTATTCCACTTCGTCTGTTTTGGAGCTAACTTGTGCAGATGAGAAGATGTTTTTTAAGTTATATGTATTGCTATACCTTTAAATTCAAGAAAGTATGGTTGTATTGTATTTAAAGAGGCGTGAATTTGTAGAATAGGTTGAATGTGAGGAATGAGTCAAATAAGACTCACAATGGCTTGTTTTCTACATTTATTCTACAATAAAACTGCATATCATTTGAAAATTAATATGAAAATACAGATTTCAACGTTTCTACAAATTTTCTACAAACTGTTCATAACAGAATTTATCTTTATTTTCATGCATGTTCGTCTGGAACACTAAAGTTACTTGATATGCCAATATCTCCCGTTATAGAGGAATACAAGTTATCTACAATTTTCTATAACTTTCACACATTATTTCCACCCAGTGAAATACAATTACGATAACATAAAACTTACATACAAATTTTATACAAAATTTATAAAATATGTCTTTTGTATATTTTGTATCCGATTTATACATAGTAAAAATAATTTTCATACAACTAATTATATATTATACAACTTATCTACAAAGTTTACATTATTTCTACTAAGTTATATACAACTACAATATAATACCACTTAAATATAATTTTTATACAATATTGTTCAATTTTCATACAATAGTTAAATCAATAAAAGAAAAATAAATAAACAACAGAATATAATTTTTCTACAATTTGTCTACTATTTGTCTACTATTTATCTACAATTTTTCTACAATTTCTGCAATATAATGTATGTCATGTCTTCTCCTTCTTCTTCTTCGAGTTTCAATCCGAAATTCAGTCAAAACCAAGTCTAATCTTCTCCAAAACTGCTCAAAATTGAGATATAAACTTCAAACCATATTCCTAATTATTTGCAACAACACCCAATCCAAACATATAATGATTTTTGAAAACCCAAATTTGAATTCAAAGTTTCAAAGCTTTTTAATGGCTGTCAATGGTGGAATTGCTGTTCTCTTTTCCTTTGCTTTGTATTACTGAAATTTGGACACAATTGCGTTTGATGTAGAAGAATTGTAGAAGATTTAGTCGTTTTTGATTTGTGAAATCAGAAAAATGTTTGAAACACAGTGTATCGAAAAACAGAGACGCTAAATTTGAAACGAAACTGACGAAGAAGATTAATGAGTGTGATTTGCGTTGTGGGAGATCTGGAAGAATATTTAATCCCCCAATTTTAGCGCGCCTAAATAAGGAAGCCTACAGCTACAATGATTCCTTATTTAATGAATTGTCTATATTTTGTAGAAATACTATTAGCAAGAAGGGTAATATGCAAACTATGAACATATTTGGTAATATAGTTTCTTATATGGTATAGGAACGAAAACTTTCCTTAAGAATATATCGTACAAATGACATCATGTCAGCCACTCTAAAAGGCTGCTATTTAGGAATTAGTCATTATGTCATGAATTTCAGTTTTTCAATTCAATTTTTCAGGACAAAAATATCTTGAATTGTCTTTAAGTTAAGATTTTTAGTTTAAAATTCAGGACAAAAATAAGTGTTAGCTAATCTCTAAATGGCAGTAAATAAACTTACACTTTTCCCATTGGAACAACTCCACTTGATCAAAAAACATATTTTAAGCACCTCCCCCGGAGCATGATCCTCAACTGCACTGACAAGGATTACATATCATATGTTAAGCCTTTTATTGTCTGACATGTTAATTAATGACATGTGTAATCAAAATTAATTTTAATTAATGGTTGGTCAGTGCACCATAAACGTCGTTAGTGCCTATGAGCCTCATATGGGCCTCGATGAGGAGGTTAAACGATGCTTTTGGGAGGGGTTGGATGAGATTATACATCAGGTACCACCTAATGAGAAGTTATTCATAGGAGGGGATTTCAATGGTCATATTGGGTCGAATGCAGGTGTGTATGACGAAGTGCATGGAGGCTTCGGTTTTGGGGAGAGGAACGAAGGAGGAACCTCGTTACTGGACTTCGCTAAGTCTTTTGGGTTGGTGGTTGCTAACTCTTGCTTTTCGAAGAGGGAGGGGCATTTGGTTACTTTTCAAAATGCGGTGGCGAAGACTCAAATTGACTATCTCCTACTCAGGAGGCGTGACAGAGGCTTGTGCAAGGACTGCAAGGTGATTCCAGGTGAGATACTTGTGACGCGACATAGGCTCTTGGTGATGGACGTTGGTATTATGGTGAAGAGGAGGAAAATGTCGGGTCGAGGAAGACCGAGAATCAGGTGGGGAGCCTTAACTAAGGACAAAGCTCAAGAGTTGGAAGGGCGGTTG